AAAAGGGGACCCAGTCCCGTTTACTCTGTACCAAGAACCGCCACACCAGGGCACTGGCAAAACTGCCGCACTGGCCACAGGAGTCACGCTGGCAACCCGTGGGGCTCCTCCGCTGGGAATCTCCTGTCCATGAGCAACAAAAATTCCTCTGAAAGTGTGGTGTCCTCTCGTTCTTTGTGCTTTCACTGGGAGCTACAATCCTGAGCTGCTAGTAATCAACCATCTTGGATCTCTCTCCTTTATTTTTTTAAGACAGGGTTTCAGCATATTGGTCAGGCTGTTCTCAAACTCTTGACCTCAGGTGATCCACCCACCTCAGCCTCCCAAAGTAATGGGATTACAGGTGTGAGCCACCACGCCTGGCTACTTTTTGTATTTTTAGTAGAGACAGGATTTCACCATGTTGACCAGGTTGGTCTCGAACTCCTGATCTCAGGTGATTTGCCCACCCTGGCCTCCCAAAGTGCTGGGATTATAGGCATGAGCCACCATGCCCAGCCAGGAATGGATAATCTTAATGGCCAGAGCCTTTAAACTGTGATAATTAATATTCTACTCAAGAGACACACCTCTCATGGTGCCCACAGCAATGCCAGTACACAGACAACTTATTTTTCTAGAATTAGGCCATTAAGGAAAACATAAAATTGATGATAGTTTTCTAACATTTTAGCTCATCCTTTGAATACGCTCATGTCTTCTCCTCCTACCTCCACTTCAAATGACACCCTCTTGAGCTACCAGTGCTAATACCCTGGTGTACATCCTCCTACACTTCTCCCCAAGCACATATAAAAATATACAAATATAAATGTACATATAATCACTGCTAGGGTGGGGTTTTTTTGTTTGTTTTGAGAAAGAGTGTCACTCTGCCACCCAGACTGGAGTGCAGTGGCATGATCTCAGCTCACTGCAACCTCTGTCTCCCAGGTTCAAGGAATTATCTTGCCTCAGCCTCCCTAGTAGCTGGGAGTAGCATGAACCACCATGCCCAGATAATTTTTTTGTATTTTTAGTGTAGGCTGGGTTTCACCATGTTGGCCAGACTGGTCTCGAACTCCTGACCTCAAATAATCCACCTGCCTCAGCCTTCTAAAGTGCTGGGATTACAGGCGTGAGCCCCTGTGGCCAGCCTAGTGATAGAGTTTTGTTTACCCAAATGGACCATAGCAGATGAATTATTTTGTGATCCTCATTTACCAATATATCATGGTCTCTGGTAGTCTAGAGGCTAGGATTCGGTGCTTTCACCAATACATCATGGATATTCCTCCTTTAATTCTAACAACTAAAAAATACATTATTCTAACAAGTGAAAATATAACTAGTTCATTTATTTTAACCATTATACAATTCCCAACAATTTAAATATACTATAATTGGAGCATTTTTTTTCCTTTTATCTTTCTTGAGACAAGGTCTTTCTCTGTTACCTAGGCTGGAACAGAGTGACATGATCATAGTTCACTGCAGCCTCAACCTCCTGGGCTCAAGCAATCCTCCCACCTCAGCCTCCCAAGTAGTTGCAACTATAGGCACATACCAGCATGCCCTGTAATTTTTTAAATTTTTTAAGGATGGGGTCTCCCTATGTTGGTCTCGACAAGTGATCTGCTGGGCAGCTTCCCAAAGTGCTGAGATTACAGGCATGAGCCACTCTCAGGCCTAATCAAGCATTTTAAAAAATTGATGGGCCTTGAAAATGTTTACAGTTTTTGCCATGACAAACAAAGATGCAATAAATTTCTTTGCCCTTCCAAACTCATGTACCATGGTCTCTTGCAGCAAATGTAGATTTGCTGGTAAACCTGTTCTAATAGTCTTACTTTTGACAAATATCATCAAATTACTCTTCCAGAAATGCAGCAATTCATACTCAGGTCATCAAAATATGAACACTTTCCTATTGTGTGTTTTTGATCATTTCGATTTTTGCCATTCTGATAGACAGACAAAAGTGTTTCATGTTTAATGTGCATTTACATGATTAGTGAGTTTGAGTATAGTGGCAGTTGAAGTGGAGGTAGAGGAGAAGACATGAGCATATTCTAAGGATAAGCTAAAATGTTAGAAAATTATTATCAATTTTATATTTTCCTAAATGGCCCAATTCCAGAAAAATCAGTTGTCTGTATACTGGTATTGCTGTGGATGCCCTGAGAGGTATGTCCCTTGAGTAGAGTATTAGTTATCACAGTTTGAAGGATTTGGCCATTAAGATTATCCATTCATCTTTACTCTGAGCTCACTAAACAGTCAGCTGATAGTAATTTCATTTCCTTTTTATGCTTATTGTCCATTTGAATTTCCTTTCCTAAGAGGCAACATAAAATATCAGTAAGTATATAAATTCTGGAGCTAGTTTTGCCATTTCCTTTTCTTGTTTTTTTTTTTTTTGGAGATGGGGTTTTGCTCATCACCCAAGCTGGAGTGCAGCAGCGCCATCTTGACTCACTGCAACCTCCACCTCTTGGGTTCAAGTGATTCTCTTGCCTCAGCCTCCTGAGTGGCTGGGATTACAGGGACCCACCACCATGCCCAGGTATTTTTTGTATTTTTAGTAGAGACGGGGTTTCACCATGTTGGCCAGGCTGGTCTTGAACTTCTGACCTCAGGTGATCCACCCATCTCAGCCTCCCAAAGTGCTGGGATTACAGGCATGAGCCACAGCGCCCAGCCAAGTTTTGCCATTTCTGAATGATAAAGCCTTTGTGTCTCAGTTTTCCCATTTTACAAATGGGAATAATAGTGGTACTTACTCAAAGTTGTAATGAGGATTCAATAATAATCTGAAAAACACAGAGAACAGTACCTATTCACATTATTTGCCTATTTTTCTATTAGGTTGTCTTGGACTTATTAATTTATGGGAGTTCTTCTAACATTAGGGATATTAGGCTTTACTATCCTATGTGTTGTATACACACTTTACCCCCCACTTTTTTTAAGATGGAGTTTTGTTCTTGTTGCCCAGGCTGGAGTGCAATGGTGTGATCTCAGCTCACTGCAATCTCTGCCTCCTGGGTTCAAATGATTCTCCTCAGCCTCCTGAGTAGCTGGGATTACAGGCATGCACCACCAAGCCCAGCTAATTTTGTATTTTTAGTAGAGACAGGGTTTGGCCATGTTGGTCAGGCTGGTTTTGAACTCCTGACTTCAGGTGATCCACTTACCTCAGCCTCCCAAGTGCTGGGATTACAAGCATGAGTCACCGCACCTGGCCTACTTTTCCTGTTTTAAAATAATGTTTTTCACTATGCAATTTTTATTTTAAAATATGTGTACTTAAGTGACTACTTTTTCTTCATGATTGGCTTCCCATATTGCTTAGGAAGCACTCCCTTACCTCAAGATTATATAACTTTTCTCCTAAATTTTCTCTAAATTTTTTTCTCAAGATAGGGTCTCACTCTATGGTTCAAGCTGGAATGCAGTGGCATGATCATGGCTCACTGCAGCCTCAATCTCCTGGGCACAAGGGATACGCCTGCCTCAGCCTCCCAAGTAGTTAGGACTACAGGCACTTGACACCATGCCCAGCTCATTTTTTATTTTTTGTAGAGATGAGGCCTCCTTATGTTGCCAGGTTGGTCTCAAACTCCTGGGCTTAAGTGATCCTCCTTCCAAGTGCTGGGATAACAGACCTGAGACACTGCACCTGGCTGTTTTTATTTTTTTTAATATTTAAATCTATCTGGAATTTTTTCACATAGGGTATAAGGCAGAAAACTAGCTCCTCCCTAGTCTCTGAAAATCCAACCATGCTGGTACCATTTCTTTAATGTATTGAAATGTGTCCCTTGTTATGTCTCACATTCTTTATTGTAATCTGTTTCTATACTCTATAACAAGCCAAAAGCATACTCTTGCTTCCAGTGGCTTTATAGTAAGTTTTAATATTTGGTAAGGCAAGTCCTCTTTTAATTTTTTTTTCACTTTCTTTATCTTTTTATTCTGCACCATATGAACTTCAAAAAAATCTTGGCCAGGCACAGTGGTCCATGCCTGCAATCCCAGCACTTTGGGAGGCTGAGTTGGGAGGATCATTTGAGCCCAGCAGTTTGAGACCAGCCTGGGCAACATGGCAAAACCCCATCTCTACAAAAATGAAAAAATATTATCTGGGCATTGTGGCAAGAGTCTGTAGTCCCAGTTACTTGGGAGGCTGAGGTGGGAGGGTCGCTTGAGCCCCAGTGGTCAAGGCTCCAGTGAGCAGTAAGGGTGCCACTGTACTCCAGCCTAGGTAGCAGAGAGACTCTGCCTAAAACAAAAGATAAAAAAAAAAAAACAACTTGACTCAGTGCCACCCACCCATCCAATGTGGAGGTGTGTAAAACCAACCACATTGAGATTCTAATTGTATTAAGTTATTAATTTTAGATAGAGTGACATTTTTCCGATATTAAGTCCTCCCATCTAGGAACACAGACTCTTTTCTCTTTAGGTTTTGTCTTACATCTTCTAACACAATTTCACAGTTTTAGTCCTACGTTCCCTTCACTCTGTATAACTCCTATACCTTCCTTCCCAGATATTTTGTGCTTCTGGTCACTTGTGAACAGGATATTTTCTTCCATTTCCATTCTAACTAGACGTTGCTAGATAAAGGAAAGCTATTAATTACATTCTTTATTCTTATCCTGTCACTAAATTCTCTTGTTAATTCTAGTTGTTTATTCTTCCTGGATTTGTATTTTAGAAATGCAATCACAATTCCTGAAAAACAAAGATAATTTTTTTCCTGATATTTACACCAAGAATGTCTTCTTTAGCTATACAACTACACTATGACACTGTGCTGCTGTCCCTCCTAGCCGCTTGCCCGCTGCAGTCATTTTTTGCGCCTGCCCAAGGCTGCCCTGAGTGGCTGCCAAGGAATCAGACAGGAGCATTCTATGAGAATATTCCATGATTGCTTTGTTCCAGTGTCACTGATGATAACATCTTAATAATTCCTGGTGTCTTAGGTTTCACAGACTTCCATTTAGAGTCACTGATATATACTTCTTGAGCTCACAACTCTAATCATACCACTCAAGTTCCCATTTGGTATCTTGTATCAGGAAACATGCCCAGCATTAATAACTAATGAGCTTGTCTGTCACATTATTTAGTTTTATTTGCCTCATAGCACCAATCATATTGGCAGGTGTATTATTTACTGATTTGTCTTCCCAAGACAGACTATATACTAGGCTATAAACCTGACTTATCTACCCTTTCATCTCTAGTACCTAGAAAGAAAACATCTAGTAGGCCTTCAACAAATATTTGTTGAATGAATAAATCAATGTTGTTTTCTGGAAAATAATATACATTGTGTTTAAGTAATTTCTTTTTATTCCAGTGTTTCTTAGTGTTATTAAGAAAGGTTGCTGTTGGCCAGGTACAGTGGCTCACACCTGTATTCTCAGCACTTTGGGAGGCTGAGATCAGCTGAGGTCAGGAGTTCGAGACTCCTGGCCAACATGGTGAAACCCTGTTTCTACTAAAAATACAAAAATTAGCTGGATGTTGTGATGCATGCCTGTAATCCTAGCTACTCGAGAGGCTGAGGCAGGAGAATCGCTTGAATCCGGAAGGTGGAGATTGCAGTGAGACAAGATCCGCCACTGCACTCCGGCCTGAAAGACAGAGCGAGACTCCATCTCAAAAAAAGAAAAAGAAAACTTCAGTTTAAGGGACAGATCAGGCCGAGAACGGTGGCTCATGCCTGTTATCTCAGCACTTATGCGATACCGCGGAGGGAGTATCACTTTGATGCCTGGGAATCAGTGAGATCCCATCTCCACAAATAATTACTACTATTAATAATTTAAAATCTGAAAAAAAAAGGAGGGGGGTGGATCAAGTTAAAATAAGTATAGGGTTAAAGTTGATATATTTAAAAATGCAGAAATAGTTGTAAGATCGTATCATTAAGAGGGATAACTCTCAGGGCAGAGATAGAAATGTACCATATCTCAGCCTTTAGAATCTCAATTTCCCATTGGACCATGAGAGATGAACTAGGACCTAATTGGGTTTGTTTCCTCCCCGTTTCTTAAAAAGGTTTATGTGAGTTGCATTTCAAGTCCTGTAGAGGTACGTTTAACAGTTTTCAAAAAAAAACTCACCAGGACTTCGTGAGAAATGAGGGTGGCAGCACGCCCAGACATGGGACACTCAAGGCAGCTTACTGCCCCTCTACTGTTTTGTTTTAGTGGGCCGACCTAGCTCCAAAAACGGTTTGACCACAATGCTAGGATTTCGCTAGGACTTTTATTTTTATTTCACTCCCCTACTTTACTGCTTTTTCAATGTATCAATCCAGACGCGTGTCTGGTCAAACTCTCAGGTTTACGGCAAAAATCATCATTTCAGACATTTGCTAAACGCTCTCCAGAAAGTCATTTTCAGGGGTTCACAGTGAGACGGTGAACAGGTTGGCACAGAGTTAGTAGGGGCAGTTTTGTTTCGATTTGCGGGCAAACCTCTCAGATGTCGCCGATTAACTTTCACCCGCAGTTCCCAAAGCCGCTTAAGGCCGTTTCCCGCGCTCTGCCACGCCGCAGGCCGATGCTGCCGCAGAGAAACAGGAAGCGCCGCCCCCGGGCGTCTGGGTCCTCGCTTCCTCAACCCGCAGCCCCGCGGCGGCGCGCTCGCCCGGTGCATTGTGGGCGCTGTAGTCCGGCCGGAACTTGTTTGCCACCCCGAGTCCCGTGACACCGCTTCTTCTCACACCCCAGTCCGCAGTGCCCCTTCCCGGCCTCGGCCGGGCCTCCCGGGACCTGGGCCCGGCGTTCCGGCGAGTCAGCTGTTTCTCCCCTGGGCACGGAGGCGGAAGCTTGAGGGGCGCGGGGAGGAGCTTCGCGCGTTGGACGAACGCCTGCCCTACGTGCTCGTTCGCTTCGCAACCGCTGCGCGCGAGCCCCGTGTCCCCGCGGCGGGCAGCAGCGGCGTCGTCGGCTGAACGCGGAGGGGGCGGAGGGAGCCCGCGGCGGCAGCAGCAGCTACAGCGAAATGGCGGAGACCGTGGCTGACACCCGGCGGCTGATCACCAAGCCTCAGAACCTGAATGACGCCTATGGGCCCCCCAGCAACTTCCTCGAGATCGATGTGAGCAACCCTCAGACGGTGGGGGTCGGCCGGGGCCGCTTCACCACCTACGAAATCAGGGTCAAGGTGAGGCCGTCTTTCCCCTCTCCCAAGAAACCCTTTCCACTGGCTTTGGTCGCCCCCACCCGGACCAGAAGCGGACCGCCGCGTACAGCCACAGCCGCCAGGCCTGGAGCCCCCTTGCAGAGGCCGACCGGGTCGTGAGCCAGGGTCCCTCTTCCTGTAGGGCGGGTGTGGGGGACTGCAGAGCGAGCGTGGGTCGCTGGCACTTGGAGAAGGTGCTCGAAGAGGAGGGCGTGGGTTGAGCGCCGCTTGCCCCTCCAGCAGCTAATCTGGGAATGACATTTGAGTTGGAAAGGGGTAGATCTTTCGAGAACACATCCCTTCACCGGGAAGGGAAAGAGATGTTGACTGAGAAAGGGGGCTTGCGCAAAGTTGAAGCATTTTGTCAGTTTTTTCTTCCTGGAGACTTCCCAGAGGTAGCAAGCCAAGCCGGCTGCTCCAGGCCCTTTCCGAGTTACTAAAGTAACCGATCTTGTGCACTCTTCTGAACAGAACTTAATGGGAGTTCACAGAAGCCTGACAATTTTTGATAGGGCTGAGCCAGACCAGAAGGGTGATTGGACATGGTTGACTTTAGCACTTTGGGCCACCGCCCTGCTAAAGGCTGAGGCGTGGTGTCACCTACCTCATAATCCAAAACTACAGTTGCTTTAAGAAAAGCCTATTATTTAGGGATCTTGCTCTCTTAATGCGAGATTTGCATTTAACTGAATGACAGAATCAACAGAAATAAAATACACATAATTTCATAACTAGATTTTGTTGGCAATAAATCAGATGATTTGAAATATGCTAACTGAAAATAGTGCTTCACCTTCACTCTGTAGTTCAGGATTAAAGAACTTGCTTATGTACGAAAGCATGTTTAAAAATTAATTACATTAATTAAAAGATGACAACAGATTACATTATTAGAAATTGAGTATAAGACGATTTTGCCTTTAGAGTAATAAAAATTTATACGACAAGGTACTGTTAACATTTAAGTGAAATAATTTATCATTAACTTACGCACTTTGTGTCGTGAAAAAACACAAAACATAAAATTTACCATCCTAACCATTTTTTATAGAGATGAGGTGTCACTCTGTTGCCCAGGCTGGTCTTGAATTCATGAGCTCAAATGAGCCTCCCACCTCGGCCTCTCAAAGTGCTGGGATTACAGGCCTCAGCCCCTACGCCCGGCCTCATCCAAACCATTTTTTTAAGTGTAGAGCTCAGTAGTATATTCACATTGTTGTGAAATTTAAGTATTTTTTAAAAATGATTCTTAGGTAGTTAGCATTGATTTTTAAAAAGTTAATCATCAAACTTTAAGATATGAAACTAATAGTTGAATGTTTCAAGCCACTGTTGTCTTCTTATAGATGTGTAAAATGTGAATCGTAGGCTGTGTTGTCATAGGGAAACTGCAAAATCCAGGCTTCACTACACCTGGAGAACTACATTCACACATAAACCTAGTGGAAAAGTGAATGTTTTCTAATTGTCTGTAATACATGACAGATGGGTCACTAAAAAGAACTTCCTCTTTTGCCCTATTGACCAGCATTTTTTTTTTTCTTGTGCTAAAACAGAACTTGGTATTCTTTTTTCTAAAGTTCCATAGCAGGTACTTCCTGTCACACAATTGAGTTGAATCTCCTGCCTACGCTTCCTCCACTTGCTAACTTTGTGTTTATCTTGCTGAGTTCATTATATTAAATGGATTCCAGTATAATAATTGAATCCTCTTTTTTTGAGATGGAGTTTTGCTCTTGTTACCCAGGCTGGAGTGCAATGGCGCGATCTCAGCTCACCGCAACCTCCGCCTCCTGGGTTCAGGCAATTCTCCTGCCTCAGCCTCCTGAGTAGCTGGGATTACAGGCACGTGCCACCATGCCCAGCTAATTTTTTGTATTTTTAGTAGAGATGGGGTTTCACCATGTTGACCAGGATGGTCTCCATCTCTTGACCTTGTGATCCACCTGCCTCGACCTCCCAAAGTGCTGGGATTACAGGCATGAGCCACCACGCCCAGCCGAATCCTCCTTTTTAAAATACATCTGATACCTTAGCAAATCACTGATAGGACACTTAAAAATGTTTTTTGGGCCTGGTGTGGTGGCTCACTCCTGTAGTCCCAGCACTTTGGGAGGCCAAGGTGGGTGGATCCCTTGAGCTCAGAAGTTTGAGACCAGCCTGGGCAACACATTGAAACCCCTTCCCTTCAAAACACACACGCACACGCACACACATACACATAAAAATTAGTTGGGTGTGGTGGCGTGCGTGCATGCCTGCCTTCCCAGCTACTCCAAAAGCTAAGGTGGGAAGATTATTTGAGCACAGGAGGTTGAGGCTACAGAGAGCTATCATTACACCATTCCACTCAAGCCCTTATAACAGAATGGGACCCTATCTCAGTTAAAAAAAAAAAAAAAAAAGTGGGGGGGATTTGGTATAGTCATTTGCATGTTAAAGAAAATCTTTTTTAAGAATGATTGAGTTAGGGAACTAACAAATTATGCACTTACTTTGGTTTGTATTTTTGTATAAACCAACTCATTGGGTGTTAATAGCTGTTAAGAGTCATAAATGCAGGTGCCTTTATGAAAACCTGATGAGTTTTTAATGCATGAAATGCCCTTGGATTTCTTTTAGTATGTAATGTGTTAACTTAAAACTGAGGACACCATATAGTAAGGAAATTAGGCCTTACTTGAGCAGCATGTGATTTTTTAGAGTAATTACAGTCTTGCATTAAGACAGAGTAGCCATGACATAAATAGTTTAATATTTTGTATTTTTTTTTTCCTTTTTTTTTTTTTTTTACTTGATACAGAGTCTCGCTTACAGAGCCCAGGCTGGAATGCAGTGGCATGACTGTGGCTCACTGCAGTCTCAAACTCCAGGGCTCAAGTGATCCTCTCACCTCAGCCTCCCAAGTAACTGGGACTACAGGGTGCTAGTATGCCTGATGAAATTTTTTTGTTTTTTTGTCAGATGAGACTTGCTATGTTGCCCAGGATGGTCTTGAACTCCTGGCCTCAAGTGATCCTCCCCTCTTGGCCTCCCAAAGTGTTGGAATTACAGGCATGAACAAACCACCCCACCCAGCCCTGCAATTTTATTTTTATTCTCTAAACTGTTGCTGCTCTCCCTAACCCCTACTGACTACCTTTTGCTATTGAATTTGCTATGTGGAAAACCATTTTATGTTCTAGAAATTGGGCCTTTGTCTTACAGTTACTGTCTAATTCTGGTCTTGAGAAAAATTTTCAGTTTTACAGGATCTGATTGAAATTACTCTAATTCACAGGGCAATTTTATCTGGATGGTGGCACTTTATAATGCAAGTTTCTCAATCTCCATTTATCTTTTGGTTTGAGGATAGTGTTTAAGACTATTAGGATCACTTGATTAGTATCTCTGGGCTTTTGAAAATAATTACACAGTGTTAATGTTTTTAAAAATTGTTCTAATGGGTAGGTACAGTGGAGAGCACCATAAATGATTAAAGGTTTAGGAAAGCTCAAGGTCTAGAATTATTTAGGCATATTAAAGAGAAGACTGAAAGTAAAATTCAGTCACTGTTTATGAAGTTTGTGCTATAATGTAACTTTAATATTCTGGAGATTTTTTTAACTAATCAAGATCTATTTTATCTGGAGAACACTGTTTTGAACAGGAATGGAATTAGAATCTTTCTTGAGCTCTGACATAGTCCTCAGTTCGAAGAATAGAATTAACATTTCCTAGCTGGGTAAGGTACAAAATTAAAGCTCCACTTCCCCACTGTGAAATAGGTATGCTAATAATAGTACCCACCTCTAGGACTAAATGGAATAAGGCACATGAATCTTTCTAGCACAGTGCCTGGCACATAATAAGCATGCAAAATTTAGCTCTTTCTAAAGATACATTTTCTAAATTAAATGTCAGTGATCAACTACATTTTCTGTGTGTTAATATGTAGTTGGGTTCCTAAAATTGTTAGATTTTCTTATCAAGAGACCTACTTGTCATGGAAGTATACCTTCATTAAGCAAGCATGGTATAAAAAGAAGCCATGTTATTTAGTACTTAACCGAGTAACCTTTGTGTATGTATCTATTTATTTTTTCCACACAGGGTCTCCCTCTGTCTATCAGCTGGGAGTACAGTGGTGCAATCACAGGTCACTGCACAACCTCAGCCTCTCTAGTAGCTGGGACCACAGGCGCACACCTCCATGCCTAGCTAATTTTTAAATTATTTGTAGAGACTAGATCCCACTAGTTGCCAGGGCTGCTCTTGAACTCCTGGTCTCAAGTATACTCCCACCTCAGCCTCCCAAACTGCTAGGATTATAGGCATGAGCCACCACACCTGGCCCAAATAACCTTTTAAAGTTGAGCTTTATTAAAGCATAAAGCCGAATAATAAAGTTGGCTGATAAAAATTTTGACCAGATGCTAAATAAATACAGCATCTTAACAGTGTTTGCCGTTCTAAACTTGTGTATTTTTTTCCCTCTGGGTCAATCATCTAATCTTAAATTGGGAGTCATTAATACCCAGATTAGAAGCTGAGAAATTTAAAAATCTTAGACTTATTTTTAGGAATTATAAATATGTATTATTGAAGGGTTAAAATATTAATAGTATTTTAAAGAATCGGGGTCAGGTGCAGTAGCTCCTGTATATAATCCCAGCCCTTTGGGAGGCCATGGTGGGAGGACTACTTGAGCTCAGGCATAGTAGAACAGCCTGGGCAACACAGTGAGACCCTGTCTCTACTAAAAAATTTAAAAATTAGCCAGGCGTGGGGTGCGTGCCTGTAGTCCCAGCTATGTCGGAGGCTAAAGTGGGATTTCTTGCGCACAGGACGTCAAGTCTGCAGTGAGTCATGATCACACCGCTGCACTATAGCCTGGGTGAAAGAGTGAGACCCTGTCTCTTAAAAAAAAAAAAGAAGAAAAGAAGAAAAAAATCAGGGCGTTTTGATGCCAAAGGACATCTGTGGAAGCTATGTGGCTCTAT